ATTACATTACATTACATTACATTACATTACATTACATTACATTACATACATACAATACATACATCATACATACATTACCATACCATACCATACCATACCATTCCATATCACTACACTACACTACATTGCCATTGCCATTCACATACCGTACCACCCCATACCATACAATACATACAATACACGGATATATATTATATATATATACAAATATTTATACAATTGCATCTTTATATATATATATATGTATTGATCTAAATATAATACATACAAATGGTTTAATATTATGTTTTAGCGATTTAAACCCAGATTTGTTACTGTGCAGCCTGACCTCCATCCAACAAATCCAGCAAATCGCCCCCACCGCCAGACGCAGGATAGGCTGGGGTGGATACCACGTTGCTAGTTGCACTGGGTGCTGCAGGTCCATCCAGCAAGTCATTCAAGTCCAGCCTGTGAGCTCGAAAAGAGAGAGAGAGAGAGAGATTCCGAGAAAGGAGAAAGAGAGAGGCGAGAGAGCAAGGGGACAAAGCAAACAATGAAACCCTGAGACGCTCCAAATTTGGACAGAAAAAGTTACATGCTGTACTGGAAACCTTCCTTTTTGCCATGGCGCTGACAGTGCAACATCAAAAGTCAATTAGGTCCAAAAATTAGTAATGATGAAACGAGCAGGACATCATGTAGATATTATATATATGATATTATAACATGCGCAAATGTCATTGTGCACACCAAAACATGAATGTTAGTTCTGGTGGCGCTTGGGTATGGATCTACTGCAAGGTTAGAACTATGGCAATGGTAAGTTGACATCCCCATTTGTCAGGTTTGATGATTTGGGTGGTCCGTTCAAAATCGGTGCACCTGTTTTGTGGGAAAATCGACAGGGTCTCAACGTGTTGTCTCGAGGTACCTCATGTGCCACCATGGCACAGGTCTTTGCCACCGGTCGGTGCTCCTCCAACCGGCGCAGGACGATCGCGGCTGTCAGCTCCTCCAATCTCTTTTTCAGGAACCGGCATCCGGTCCAAAATACCTGCGCAGCTTTTGCAATAAACGTTTTGACTCCCACTTTCTTGGGTGTTGCTTCAAGATGTAGAACAATGCCTTTAGATACTCCAGCTATGTCCAGCCCCATGCTACTTTCCGAGAGCCGAGAATTACCTTGGTCGTTTCTCTTTTGTGGCGTTCCCTGCTTACGAATCAAGTAACCTAACTCTTAAGCTTAAGTTACCCAATTGTAAGGACAAAGCCATGGACCGACAAATCGGCGACTGGTCGCCATCATTTCCCACCGACTGTCTATCCTTTGATCATCTTTGATCCTCAGGATGCTACACGACACAAGTCTGCAAAGGCAACTGAAAGAGCTATATACATGCACTGGACGATGGTCATACTGCTTCACGTATCATACACGGCACACCCCGCAGATCCCCACAGCCTGCACGATGTGGATCCCACTCTGAGTGGAGAAGCTCAAGAAATTCACAAGAGCGCTGCTGCAAGTCTACATGAAGACTTGCGTCAAATCTTCGCAACAGCTTCCTCAGTTTGAAACTGACAGGTCCAGGGTGGGTGTAAAAGTCGCAAAAATCTCATTCTGCCATAGCCAACACAAGCAAATGCTCTGCAATGACCTTTGATCTGATGCGACTAAAGTCAAATCAATACATTGTAAAACATTTTGCAGATTTGAATCTAGTGCTGATTTAGGGAGATGTTTCTCGGAATTCAGCCAAGTTCACAAGGCTCGCATTGCTACAAGAGTTCATGTTGATAGTCAGTGGGTCAGAAGTACTGAGTATACAGCAAGTACTCAAGTCACCAGGGGCGAGCCACCTAGGTGAAGTCCAAGTCGCTTGATCTTCTCAGCCTCACTGGGGCATCTGGTCACAAGCTTGATCAACGCAGCTGCCACGAGGCAATGTGTGGCTGCTGCCTTCTCGGCAGATGGCGGCTTCCGCACAACGTCATAGAGAAGATCAAGAACATCACCTTGGAAAGACATCCGCGGACCTGCCTCGCTTGCATTCTCTCGACGTGAAAGGTGCCAAGGTGAAAAATGGTCTGCACCTTGCACCGACAAACAAGGAATCGGACTTGCAAAAAGAAACATAATAGAATACAGTACACAATACAATATCCATACGTGCAGGGAGAGGGAAGTTCTTGTGATAGCCTCGGTCTCACCAGCCGCAGTCTTGAAATCAAGGCAGCCTATTTCACTGCCCAGGTGCCAGAACTCACCGAGATCGGCTGGTCATCTGGCCCCACTGCATTACCAGAAACCAAGAGATCTCCAAACTCACCCAGGCACCAAACACCCACATGGACAAGAGCTTCCTGGCAGTGGCTGGGTAAGCACGAGCAACTGGATAAGCTGCTGGTTTTCAGACGTCCTGGGACAAGCTCTCCCTCATGTTGGCATAGAGCTTGGTGACAGTGTACGCATGCAGTTCCTTGCAGGCACGCCCAGTCAGATAAACGCAATAAAAACATACAAAAACCCATTCTGTCTCAAGCATGTTGAACAAAAGCAAACAGCTAGGGCTGCAATACAAGGCCTCGCAGCTGCCGTTTCCGTCCCTTGCTCCGAGTCGCTGGAGTTGCGGCCACGACTCTGCAGAACTTCTCGCGCTGCTCCTCCTGGTCGGGTCGCGCCACACACTTCCAAGGGAAAATAACTTTCGACAAATTGTTCGACACCCAAGTACCATGCAGCGACTCCCAAGTAGAATTTGAACGGCTGCCATCGACGTACAATGGGGGCCAGCACACAAGACCACATTGGCACAAGTAAGCCGGCTGATGCATCACACTCCCTCCAATGGAAGCCAAGCCCACAAGGGACACGGAAAAGAACACAGGGAAGAAACGGTAGGGTGTTGATGTTACAAGTTCTGCACGTCTGACTGAAAGCGTGACTGCTGATTCGGCCTTGACGTAGCTACCACCCAAGCACATGATCTTTATCAAAGTGTCCTTGGCGAGTGTGCTTTGTGTGCATATGCACCATGCTGGTGCTTTAAACTCTTCTTCTTGGGTCTTCAGCCGCAACCTTGCCTTAACTTAAGGAACAACTTGCACTTCAGAGCCCATCAACTGCTAAAGCCAGCATTGAGCTCAGAATCAATCTGCCATTGCCGGTTTGGAGAGAACTTGTCGACAGCCATGCATAACTTGCTGCACAGCTCCTCCTTAAAATCCTAAGTGTCAAGAGTGCTCCAGACACTTGAAGTGTTCAATCGATGTTTGATCAAGATGCAATCCATACTGATAAGACCTGTCACACTGTTCAGTGGGCCTACTCTTGGACCACTACTTCCTCCAGCATTTGGCATAGATCAAGCTGATGACCAAGGACTTCTTTATATAGTCTTGTTGTGAAACGTGCGAGGCTTCAAAGTGGGAAACTTACAGTAACTAAAATGACCTAGATTCTGTTTCGGCAACGAGGAGGTAGTTGAGCAGCTCTTTTGTCATACCTTGCGTTGTGCTATGTGTTTAAGAATTGGGATAACAAAGCCTAAAGCAACAAGCTGAGGCTAAATAACCTGAAGCGTGCAAAGTCACTCTTGATGTTTGTCTCGTCAATCAATGAATATGTCACATCTAATGCCCGCTTTCGAATGGAGATGTCAGCATCCTTCAGGCAATCGATGATTGTGTTGCGATGTCTCTGCATCACCTGCTGGTCAACATTCACGACACGCTGAAGGGTAGCCAATGCAACCTCAGTTGTGCTTGATTCCGGTGAAGTCTTTGCTTTTTGTTTTGGCAAATGTGCAAACTAACATAAGTGTTTATTCCATAAAGACTTGCAAAAAAAACAAGGCCATCCCTATCCAGAAAGGGCAGGCCACATATCGAATATTGTTGTCCCGACTTTGGAGAAAGCGCCCCAGAATGTTGATCCCCAGGACGCGCAAGCCACTTTCAGCTTCGATGGACATAATGGTAAGCACACATTCATAAAGAATGGAGTTGCCAGTGTTCTTCGTACCCTCGGTGTTTGTCGCCACTTGTGCTAAAATATCATTCATCTCATCACTCGCATCGACGTTACGCTCTCCGAATATCCGTAAGAGCCGCAGAATCTTTGCCTGCAAGAATGGGTCCTTGGCTACAACGCACAGGTCAATACAGCGGGCCACTTCAAGAACGGGTCGCAAAGGCTGAAAACACAGTATGTGGGTGTTTTGTTACTACTAGCGTCCTTGTTCCTACTAGTAAGGCACCTGTTCCTCGTAGCGTGGCACTTGTTACTAGTATGTGGGTGTTTTGTTGCTCTTGCGATGGGAGTGATAGCATTTGCTCCAGGTGTGTGTTCACGTAGCGTTCTTGGCCCGAGGAGATGCGAAGTTTGGTTTTGGATCACTGATGCGCCGCTGCCTTTTCACCCATTAGGATGCATTAAACGCTGGCATCTGCGTGGAGATAGTGAAATGCAGTGTAGAACAGCTCTGAAAACTAGAAAACAGGAGAGATATCCGAGATCTATAAAGGGTTTATACAGTACACATGCCTCCATGACATCTATGCCTCCATGAGTCTGTTCCTGCAATGAAGCGGGGTGGGTAATGAATGCATGACGAGAAACTGTGATGCCTGCGATGTCATACTCTGCTGCGCTGCTGTACCCTGATGTCACCATGTTTCCTAGCCAAAAGCAACGAGCGTGAGACGGAAAAAAACAACATCAGCAAAAATTATGGTAGTGGATTTGATTCTCTTTGATTTCTATCATTCTACAGGGGGAAACAGGCGGCAAAATGATTTGCTTTGGACAAAGATTCTCAAGGCCCTGACTAGCGATGGAATGTGGCGTCGAAATTCCTTGATGTATGACGGATTCACCTTAATTAGGCAGGAATCAAAATGACCATAACTTAGCCATGCTCTGGGCCGCGTGCCTCAAGAAGGGTCGTAAGCAAAGAGCAGCCTGCCAAAAGAACACCGTGGTGGCGGTCTTCTAGCAAGTTTCCAATCTTTCCTCAGAAGGGCAGGCAGGCTTCCCACTTTCATTCGCTCTCCTACAGTAGTTGAAACAGGGCATCCAACCAATTCAGAGCTCAAAACAACAAGACTTGAGCATTCTATCTGTATCTGCATGTAATAATGCTCCAGCGCACGACTGCTTTTAAATACCTAGAAGTCGGTAATTATGCATTCAACATTCATGAACCAGCTGTCATCGGCTGTCAGACCTTGATGGTTTGATGTGTACAAGGATGATTCTGATGCACACTGCAAAACATTGAGACAAGTTTCCGTTGAATTTGTCTTCGATTTCATCCACCTTCCGCACGATCCGCATGGCGCACAGGGCAGCCTTTTTGCCTCATTCTAGCATATTCTAGCAACGTTTTCCGCCAATCGAGATGGAACATGCAGAATGGGAGATGGGCCTACTTCCCAGCTTTCCAAACAAACTGCTTTGCCAAGCTTCGCAAGTAAGGATTTGGCGATGCCATCCTTGCCACAGAATACAACACAAGCTGGCAACCTTGACCCTTTGACCCACCAGCAAGAACCTTCCGAGTTCCTGCGACTTTCCAGCATAACAGGCATAACACTTCTCTTGAATTGAGCCAAATCCGAGCGACATGTTTTCAACTTCCCTGGCCAAAGCCCTGCACATCTCATTGCTTCCAATATTTCCTAGGATCAGAGTCCGAACATCGAAATGGCTTTGCTGCTCGCAAATAGCATACCAATTGACATTGTGATACAATTGCGACCGAACAAAGGACAAAAATACAAACAGCTTAGGGTCCCAAAGCACATAGCGCCAAGCCGTTGACATACTGATTCTCGTGATTCATGTCATGTTTGACAGAATTGGTCACAAGCATCAGGACATCTGTGTTCTCATCTAGGAGCTGCGTCAAGCCAAGATAGCCTACACGCTTCTCGGCGAACTTGCTGGATGCAATTAATTTCAAGCATTCCATTTGCCCGAAGTGGGTCGGATAGCCCATCATGTGGATGAACAGCAGCTTTGCGACATTTCGATGTCGAAATTGATTGTCATCCTCCTGACGGCGAGCATTCCCGACCACAAGCCTTTCAGTCTTTGTGTTCAAACACCCCTAGCCCCTAACAAAAAGGAATTCAAAATTAAAGTGGTGGAGTGGAGAGCTCGAGTTCTAAAATTATATATGATAATGTGTTGTGATTCGCTTGTGGAATCCATGCTGATCAAAAACTTCCTAAGTGCTCCTTGAACGCTGTCCGGATCAAAGCACATTCCCGTGCAATGACTGCACGCTCCTGCAAATGACACAGCGAGACTTATACTCACTTGTCATCTCCGGCCCTGAGTCTGGTGCTTTGCGTCACAGTGTCCCGCAATCTCGGTCAGTTACAGTCACATCAATCTCAACGACTGCAATGGGAGGGTTACATTCCCATGGGCTCTGACTGGAACAACGCACCATGCGTGCGAGAACTTCAAAACAATCCCGCTTCATCTGCGCGCGGTCGAATGAACCTTTTAAGTCAATGCAACCCTGATAATCTGCAAGCTGTCTTGTCATCTGGCTGAAGAAAGGTCTATGAATCTACAGGATGGACTGCACATGACATGACTGCATTTAAAAAAAAAGTGCTGCAACACTTGCTTGGAATATGCTATGCGCTTGAGATGCAAGTATTCAGTATCCAATATGTATATAATGGTTTCATGATGTTTCATGCTCCAGGAACGGCATCCAGCCAGCTATGTCCTCCGCTGCAGTCTTGGCTGCACGGATGCTTCGTATGAGCTCCCGCAGTTTGATTGACATGGCTGGGCTATGCGTCTCGAGCCGAGCACCCACGGATGATCGTTTGGCATCAACACCCTCTGATTCAGTGCGCTGAAAAAATCAATGATCAAATCTGGAAGGCGGAAGGTGCTGGCAGGATGAAAAAATACGTCCTTCGTCAACTGGACCGCAAAATCACTCCATCGCATGGGCTCACCCGCCTGCTCGGACTCTGCAAGACGCTTGCGCTCTTTCAAGTAGCCAGTCATCAGAATGGTCAGCAGGAACCTGGGCCGAAAAAAAACACCGGCCAACATGTTCTTCCTTTGGGCACAAGAACCTGAACTGCTCAGTCTGAACCGTACGTGAATCTGTTTCTGTCAAAGGGTACTACTTCAAAAGGGGGTTCCGAGGAGGAACAACATCGAAACACTATGTTGAGGAGTTCAACCAAAGGATTTGGCTGCCCAGGCAGCGAAGAACTCTTTCTAGCGCAGGTAGTCAATTCAATAACAAGGCTGTCTTGGCAGCGCCAGCGGAAAAGGCAACTGCATAATTTGGCAAGACACTGCTGAAAAATCAGGAAGAAGAACTGGAAGAAAAGGAAGTAGGCGTCTCCGAAGGAATCGTCCGCCTCCACAATGAGATCATAATTCCTGAGGGCATGATCAATGTGTCAGAATCTTTGAAGCCTCTTGTACATGAGAGTCTTCCCATCCGTATATCGCTACATCCACAGAATCTCTACAAATCCAAAGGCTGCGAATCTGCGTGCTTCATCTTGTACTGAATGTCTTCTTGTTTTGCAATTTGCCAAAAGCAATATCCCTATACTGTATACCCCTATAGTGAAGAGGTGACCATGGAAAATGTTAAGCTACATTTAGGTAGGTGGGGGAATACGAAAATGTATGAACATGTAAATTACATTTTCGCACGTCCCACCCAGGTTGCAGCAGTTTGCATGTTTGCAATGCTATAAAGGCAAACAAGGGGTAAAGAAGGTCACAAAACAATCGGAAAACAAGGTTTCTATCTTGTTTCCTAGACTTGTTTGTTCTCTTTGCGCCGATTCTTGTTAAATTCCTTGAAAACCATTCATGTTGTTTTAAACACCTTTAGCTCTCCTACTTGGTCCCTTTGTGGTTTGCCCTGTGTCTCTGCGGGCCCTTGGACAATGTAAGCTACATGCTTCCTACGTTGTGAGGGGGTGGAGGGGGGGAAATGTACTGTAACGCACACTCAGGGAGGTCCCTCCTGGAATTCTGATGGCCAGGAGCCCCTAGTAGCGTCCTTGCTCCTAGTAGTACGGCCAGGAGCCCCTAGTAGCGTCCTTGCTCCTAGTAGTAAGGGCAGGAGTAGGTCACCAAATTTCGCACATCACCTTGGCAATCACTGCAGGCATGCCAAAAGCAAGAGGCTACTCAAAAATGCTCAATCAGCACCTCCCAGTTCGGCCCGAGGCCAAAACGAACAAACATAATGCACAGGTCGCACGACAGTCGAGAAAGTGTACACGAAAGGCCCCTAGGCACATCTAGGGACAAATGGTAAATAAGAAGGAAGGCCATACTACTAGGAACAAGAAGCTACTAGGAGCAAAGGGCATCACTACTAGGAGCAAACACGCTACAAGGGGAGCAAGGACGCTACTAAGGGCTCCTGGCCTTACTACTGGGAGCAAGGACGCTACTAGGGGCTCCTGGCCTTACTACCGCTACTAGGGGCTCCTGGCCTCACTACTGGGAGCAAGGACGCTACAGTGGACGCTACTAGGGGCTCCTGGCCTTTCTACTGGGATCAAGGACGCTACTAGGGGCTCCTGGCCTTACTACTACTAGGAGCAAGGACGCTACTAGGGGCTCCTGGCCTTGCTACTACTAGGAGCAAGAAGCTACTAGGGGCTCCTGGCCTTACTACTAGGAGCAAGGACGCTACTAGGGGTTCCTGGCCTTACTACTAGGAGCAAGGACGCTACTAGGAGCGTTGCGACAAGTGCCTGTCCAGCTGTCCGGGCGGAGTCCTAGACGGCCCGATCTCCAATCGGTCTCCCTGGTTTCTGTAGAGACAGGTGACAGGCGGTTGTGATAAAGCAATCACTGTGATTCCCGTTGCCTTTCAGCATGTCCGATATTAACTCTTCTGTTGTGTTCAGTATTCTATGTATCCCCAGCTCTCCAAATTGATAAACTGAACTGCCCGTTGATATCGTTCAATATCTATATTATGTTGATTGGGACTGGGCGAGCCCTGCAAGGCCTTACCGGAGAGTTAGAAGGATGACCTGTCTCTACGGTGGGACAAGTTTCCTCTCAACACTGGGAACCCCAGGAAACTCCTCAGAACGCCATGGGCGTCTCACTGCCGAGACTCGCTTTCCCTCTGATCATCTCCACCACTGTCAGGATGCTGTGAGCTGGACTACCTGGACATCCAGCTGCGTTCTTTTTTCAAAGTAAATTATTGGTTTATGTCAAGTTTTCATGTTGCTATCTGGAGGTGCAAAAGCACGGCTGCGATCCAATGCGTTGTGAGTGGTGCTCTGAGCTACGATGCGTAGGGACATGTGGGTGATATGCACTCTACATGTAGTGAATTCTAGACTCTAGACGTGTAATGTGGTGATTTATGATACTCACGTACTGAGGAATCAATCCTTCTATCAAGGGAGGGCTCTGGTGCCAAGCTGCTGAACTGGCTCAAGTTGAAGCCCAACAGGAACATGCCAGCCAAGCTGAAACCTAAAATCATTATGAAGAACACCACGAAGAAAGTCACCAAATGATTGCTCCTTACAACGGATGGTGAGCACGCGAAAAGCCGGGGCTGTGTGTGACCACTGGCAGTGGTTCCACCTGCTGCATTCAAACCCGCATCCTGGCAAACCCCTACAGCATGCAGTCGAAAACCAGGGGTGTTCTCTGAAGTGCTTCTACAAAAGTAGGATACTGCAGGCAACTGCCCGCATGAATCTGTAAATGACAAACCTAAGGCATTGCGTCAAGCAGCATAACGCCCATGGAATCCACCAAAAGCCGCAGTTGGGGAATCAAACTGGTGCACTCGGCCACTGCCTGCGAGAACGTCATGGAACTGACATACTGCTCCATCCTGCTACATTGTAGAGTCCTGCTTCCCAACATCTCCCGACAATGCTGTTTGCGCGTTCAATTCAATATGCTAATTCACCCAGCCTGCACAAAAAAGCAAGCATGTGATGACGGAGACAACAACTTTCAAGTCCTGGTTGTTGATTGTAAGCTCCTGAGTTGGAGTTGGCAACGCGACAACCAGCAAGCATACACCCTTGGTTTCTATTTGTGCCAAGCTGCTGCAATGTCTGCAAACTCTGAGGTTTCCATTGGCAAGTTGAAGTTCAGGAAGGCATAAGAAAAAATGATGGTGAGATAAATCCTCAGCGACGAGTTGCAAAGCACGTTTTGCTGAAGTCAAAGATATTAGCATTATATAGCACCGGCAAACAAACACATTCTTCTGATCGGTCGCAGTACCAGACAGCAGGGTGCTGCACGCCCAAAAGCATGAACGTTTAACCGTTCTTAACATGTCTTAACAATATGTCGTTTAATGGACCCCTTGAGCTGGGGAAGGGGGGCAGGAATAACCACCCTTGCATGTAGAGGAAAATCTGAACAGTAGCCAGGGCACACTATAACATAGGCGCACAGAAGGATCGTTGCTAAGTGAATGTAACCCATAGGCTCAGAGAAATACAGCCTGTAGTCAGCTGATACATCCTCAACCTGCCGCCAGCTCTTAAGAAACTGTGCATAATTAGTTGTGGCAAGAAGAATGAACTCCCACCTGCATACTCCTAGACTTGGCGTCATGGCATGCATGCACCTTGAACTGCATGCCTGGCCAAGCTGATACCTTTCACTTACATAAAGAAAGTAAAGCAAATATCACCGCAAACTCCAGGTCATGCTCGTCTGTCGTCTCGGCCTGTGAGCGGAAGAAAAACACAAAGCAAATGATGATCACAATGTAGGTGAAAATCCGGACGTAGGAAGACACCTGGCAAGGTTGACCGCAATCATGCTCTGCATTGACATTGGGCACAAACCCATTGGGAGAGCACGTTGAAGGAATCTCATGGATGGAGTTGGAGGTGTTGAGTCGAGTGTAGTTACTCTGTTACTGTTATCTGCAGTTTTTGTTGTATATATAACATCGAAGTCAAATCACGCGCAGTTCCTTCTTGCTGATCAAGTAGGGTCTTGGGGCCGTAGTTGAGTTCACTGGCTGCTTTGGTCAGTCAAGAAGCTGGCAGTATGCAGCGTTTGCAAGTTATACGAGATACTGGAATTGTGACAACCATGAGGGGTTGAGTGGCGGCAGGAAAGGATCGAATCAAAATGCTCTTATTGGCAAGGGAAATGGAACCATGTATATGTATAATTATATACAATATGCATATATACAGACCTGAGAAGGGAGGGGTCAAAAGCCATCAAGGGGGGTGCCCTTAGGGCTAGCCTGGCGCTCCCAGGCATGGCTGCCTTTGTCGTCTTGGGTCAGGGGCGTGTTGGAGGGTAGAGTGGAGAAAGAGTAGCTGGAAGTCATGAAGTTGATATTGCAGCCACTGGAGCGCGCGAGATGAAGTGATTGGCTAACATCGGGCAAAGCATACGTTTAGGTGGTGAAGTTGACATCGGAGCCACTCTGATAGGAGGTAGAAACAGAAAGTATCATTCAACTCTGACCCGACCCGCTGCAATCTGTTCTCTCTCCTGCCCTCAACAACCCCCGAGCAACTCAAAACCTTCCGGCACTGCTGCACTGTGCCTGGCGCATCCACCTGAACCCCCACCGCATAGGGAGTGCCCTCTTCAGTCTGGCAGCTAAAAAAGGGCGCCCCCAAGCAACGCTAAGCCTGCCCACAACTGCAATCTGTTCTCTTTCCTGCTCTCAAGCATGGGGTGAGCTCCAACCACTTTTCACGTCCCTCCCCTTGTCTTCCCTTTCCTCTCATCGACGTGAACAGTGAACTCCCACCCCTAGTAAGGACAGTTTACTGGCCTCCTAAGGACAATTTACATGGCCTCCTAAGCCCTCGTGATGCTAATGATGCACAGCTCGCCGTGCATTACATCACTTGCATCACAACACCCCAAAAAGCTACTCATTTTCACTACCTCCTGGCCACCTCTTTTTTTCGCTCTCCCCCACCAGGCTCTGCAAACGTGCCCCCCCCCCCCCCCCCCCTTTCCTCCCTTCGTTCCCGCAAGAACCTCAAGCCTTGCCTATCGGCTGGCTTTCGTGATAATATACATATATCGCATTATATCGCATGTGTTCGCTATCGGTGTATCGAATTCTGGAGGTTTTTTAGTCAGGAAATTGTTTGTTTCCTCCCATCCGGATGCACTTTACAAGTCCACGTCGTCTCACACCCTCCCGTCACCCGTCGTACCAGGGAGAAGTCGTGGATGTTGAATGCAAGGCTGCTGACGCGCACTTGCCTTGAAGACTTGCGGAGAGGAACGGTTTGCGCTCTATTCAGGCTTTTCCGAATCAAAGCAACGATTGAAATGAACGACGTCCTGAACATCAAGTGTCTACTACATTATATTGTTGCTGCTCTTGCAACACTACGTTGCCTAAAACCTGATGGGGCATCTGAACTGAGAACAGCTGCACATTGGTCTTGCCGCTGAACTGGTGTTCGAAGACGAACGCTATATGGGTAAGAAGCTCCACGTTGCCGTTCCAAAGCATCAATTCAACGACCTGGAGCACCCATTCGATCCCATTCGCATGACCCTCCTCTTCGTTGTATGCAATCTCTGCCCGCTTGCCGCTTGCTCTTGGAGTAGTTAGCTACCGAGTATGTATGCGGCACGCCCGTTGAACTAACAACGAGGTTGTGGAGCCCAAACAATGACACTTGCACAAGCAAACTCAACATTGATATTTCTAATATATATATATATATCTTATATTATATTATCTTATATTACTGCATCGGTGATGTACTATAAATTGCTACTACCACCACCACTATTGCATGCACAACGACTGCAGCAACAACAACAATAACAACAAGCGCAAAATACAAAATTGAATGCACACAAAGGGAACGCACTATGCTCCTCATCAATCCAAGTTACCATAGAGCCCTGGTTTAGATCAAACCATCCTGCCCTTTTGAGCTCTGAAATTTGCCTGCAAGGTTTAGCTGGACAAGGCCACCACACACTCACACACCAATGTCAAATCCTTGAGCTGCATGGGCAGCATGCTGTCCAAGGAACGAATCTGGAATTTCCGGACTTTCTTCAATTTAAGTCTACCCTACGTACACTCAAAACAAGGCAATACCAGCTCGCGTGTGCTGTTCTGTCATACGACAACGCAATAAGTTGAAAAAAAAAATAAAGAAATACAAACAAAAACCAACAAGAGCAACACAGCAACACAATCAAAGCTACTGAATGATCCTTTTAGTGTGTTTGAGTAATCAGTCCTTGCGGTGACCTTCTTCGGCTTATCAAAATCCAGGATCTCCACAAAAGCACCAGCTCTATTGAAGCCACCACCTTTGCCATAGTTGTAGACGCCGAAAGAAGTTGTGTCCTACGAGAACCGCCGGAGCTCTGGAGAAAGCCCGAGGTTGGAAAGCTTGACTGATGTTCTCAAAGAACCAGACGTACTTGTTCAGTTCCGTTCTGCCCCGTCGTTATAGGCTGATGAAATCGCTTTGCGATGTACAGCGCAAGATTTCAGCACATTTGCAATTGACAGTTGGTCATCTGACAGCCCAACAAACAAACTTTTTCTGTAAAGCAACTTCCCTGCCCCCCGTCCTCCTCAGTGGGCTTGTAGCTCCAAGCATCCGTTTTTGCTGCTGCCATGACCTGCGAAGGGCCAGAGAGAGCTGGGTGGCTGCATGGGATCCTCTCGGGATCCAACCCTGTTTAAGGCTTCAGCGAATGAATGCTGTAGGGAGCTTGGCCCAACCCCTTACCGCACCTATTCTCAGTCAATCCGGTTCTCAGTCAATCCGGTTCATGGACGAATACTTTCCTGTGTGAAAAACATAGGGTAGACCAAGAGTTGACATGGACCTTCATACATATTGCCTGTGAAAAACACAAGGCGTCCCAGAAGCATACAGCAATCTTTCCTGAAACCACTTCCTGTTCTCAAGAGATGTTTGTACAATCCACACCTTCCCATATGCGTTGGAGAACACTGGTGAGTCAGCATTCAACCTGGGCGAGCTTCGGTGCATAGTTCTTGAATGCCTCTCTCTCTGTCTCTCGATATTGATGAAACCTTCTAAGGTTATGAATAAATGTGCTATCTTGAATGACTAGATATGATTAGATTAGGAATTGTTTAGGGCCACACTGTCTGAGAAAGCACTATGCCACTATGCGTTTATGCCGCAAGACTGGGCCAAGCGGTCACTGTAACTGGCCACCGGATCCGTAAAAAACGTTTTGAGGTGTCCTGCATCAAGAGTCAAATTGAATGACCCAGTTTAGACACCTACCAAAGGGCCAAGACGAGTGGCAGCTTCCGCCGTTTCAATGAGATTCGTCCCATCAGTGCTCGGTTGAAGCGCCCCACCATTAAGCCACGAGGGCGCGCAGTGCCCACCTGGGCAACCAAGGCTCCACACCCACACTCCAACAGCGAGAAAACCTCACCACCAAAACACTAGGTCGCTAGACCCGCATCTGTCACGATGATCAAAGGTGTCCCACTCGTCCTGCTCTCGATGCATCTTCAAGAAAGCCACCCGCTCAGGGCAAAAGCTAACATTGACTGGATCCTCTTCGTCCATGAGATCGCCAGTTTTCCTTGGATTCTATCTCAGGTCGTCCCCTCGGTGGGAAACTGACCAACACCAAGCACAATAAAGTTGAGGAACACAACATTCCCATGCCTGTTCTACGTAGGACATGCTAGGACAAAAGTACTAGAACAACAGCCTCTCCCTGCTCAGAGGAAGCTGGCTTAAGTCGTCATCTAATGCACCTTTTTTGCTTGTCTTCACCTTCTACCCACCTTCTTGGTGGCCGAGGAGCCAGCGAGCAAACAGGGACAACCAGGGTGGCAAGGTATCTGCGCAGTTGGCCGAAAGGTCGGGCACCTTGGCTTCGTGCCCGGAACCGGGCAAGGGGAGCACCCGGGCACCCAGCTCTATCCCGAAGCAGCATACACATACAACAATATGCAAGAATGCCACGTCACCGGCACTTCATGCCACAACTGCAAGAAGAGTGTTCTTTTGGCTTCGGCACCGCCCACACAATCCCTCAGCTGACCTTTCCCATCGACAGCCAAGCGACAGATGTATTGGTCGTTAAGTTGACCTCTTTGGTCGGCACAATTTGCTCTTGACAGGTCTCGCCCACGCATTGTTGACAGCAATCTCTTCGGCTCCTGCATGGCGCACTGGGTCCAACCAGTGTGACGGTCACAAACACATCAAAAACTGCTAAATGAGTTACGGTACTGCGTCATTCCGGGATTACTCTTCCCAGGGGCCATGTTCCACTTCCATGACTGTTGGAAGGAGAGTGTTCATGATTCAAGCCACCTTCATCTTTCGCTTGCCCCTCACTATCTTGACCAAGTGACCCAAGTCGTGATGGGCAGTTGCGACGGCCAGCAATCAACGGCCCTGAGCACTCAGAGTCCGAATTGGCGTTACCTTAGCAAATTCTGAAGAAGTCCAGCCATGGTTGTTAGGATGCTGTGGAATGTTGGAGGCAAGAGGATTCCAAGATGATCCCTCAGGAACAAAAAAAGCCACACCCAGGTGACAAGTATATAATTAGACAGTATACATGCATCATGCAACTAGTAACTATAGAGCGACATGACTTTGATCAGATTGCACTTTGCTCACAAATTCCCAAGCTCCAGTGCATACTAACAATAGTGGAGGCCTTCCATAAACACGGGTTCCCAACCAAGTGAGAAAATATTATCCTGTTAGGCCCAAGCAGGGACGCATCTTGCCAACCAAGTGACCCTCTCCTAAGCGGCAGGGATGCGACTTGGTGCAGTAGGCCTCATGGCTTCCATCTTCTGGAGTCTCCATATAGAGCTGCTCCAGGAGCACCTGCTCCTTAGCCCCACTGCTCGCAATCTTCCATGCTTTTCCTCTCAGAATGGTCATTCAAACCTCTTTCCCATGCTCCCTTCCAAGCATGACCGTCTTAGATTTGGCTATTCTATGGTATTCTTTACAGGCCCAGCTTCCAGCCACTGATAGACTTGCCTCCCACCTCTCACATCATAGATGGTACTCTTGGGATGTTGCCGCCAAGGGGAGTTCAGAAATCTTGCGCCAGCGGCCTCGAAGATCTGTGCTGAGACCTGTGTTTCTTGCCTCGGCAATGCAGGCGTCCTGTGTTTCTGGCCTCAAGCCATGCATAAGGGATTCCATTTTCATAAGACTCCTTTGTTGGAGGTGCGATACAACCCGTATGACGAACAATACCCAAAAGCCCCACAAAATTTGCCATGATATAATTATATATATAGATATGTATAAATATACGTAGTTATTTGTTAATATTGTTGATAAGTAATATATACTATTACTGTTGTTATTACTATTGTTACTGTTATACATACACATGACCACACACATGTTCATATGTATATATGTGTGAATCACGTGAACTCATTGCTCCTCAATGTGCTGAGAACCAGAGGTCAAAAAGAAGCTTCGCGCCGCAATGAGCAGTCAAGTGACATATATGAAAAGATCAAGAATGCCAAAGCGAAACACAGTGACAGCAACACCGGCATTACCATGGAAGACATGGTGTCCAAAGGCTAGGAGTCACCGAGTAACTCGGTCCTTGCCCCTGGACGAATAGTCAAAGAAAAAGGCAAACAAACACACACACACACTTGAAGTCAGCTGATTTACTGCTGGGGATGTCCTTTGTGAAACCAGCTGACCCTTTATTGTCACCATGCCCTCCTGCAAGAATTGAGTCTATTGATTCTATTCCCCGACCCTCATTGGTAGAGGTCGGGGCTTGACCCGAGTCGCTACATACACAAATGACTCTTTGCAGCACCACACCAATGTATACAATGCAGAAGTTCAGTCTTGCCAAACTAGATCGGGGGCCTCTGTGAGTCCATCCAAAATGAAACCGCACAAATTTTATCAAATGTTTCTCATTGCCAAAAACTCATCCTGGCAGGCAATTCTTTTTGCGGCCACCCGTTTAAAATGAAGGCTTGGTGATCATCAAGATTGATCAGCTTCAAGTCCTTTAGCAGTAGCAGTCTTTCTTTCCGAGTCTCACGCATCCTCGGGTCAAATCGACGAATCGATGCGCCTGATCTTCAGTACGCTCAACAGTTTTGGAGCTCTGTACAGGCAGTGCCAAGCCCCATTGACCGCCATTGACCGCTCAAGTCACTCGAGGCGATGGCCTTGGACCTCCTTGGACCCATTTGGATCCGGATTTTGATTCCAAGGGATCCAAGGCCACCATGAGCTACCACGATCCATGACCTTCATAAGCAACAAAACATCATCAATCTCTCACAAGCAATACTCACTACTATTGCATGCATCATTATGCATGTATTATATATATACACACATATGTGTGTATGTTTTTTGGAGTCTGGCACAGCATGTCGCAATACCCTGATTCTGTGCAATGATACAGCAGTAACAATATATGCCGTGTAACCGTAAGCGAACACCTAGCAGGCTCTATGACATAATGTCATCAAGACGCTGCCATGCTAGCTTTGGAATCAGCAGTCTGTACGTAGCTATGTCCAATTGGAGTCACTGCCGTCACGAAGCTCAAGCGCGAAATGGCTCGCGCAAACAACCCAAGTACCAGCGCGAGAAGAGCCGCACCTGGGCCACATGGAGTCTTGGACGATCATGGGCGCTGCGGCAGTATGAATCAACATGTATGAAACCTAATAGCACAAGGAACCTACTAGCGATGTCCTCCAACCTAGACGCAATGGCCTCCAACCCAAATAACGATGGCCTCCAACCTGATAGCCACGGCCTCCAATGGCCCAATGGCCTCCAACCTTAATATGAATCAACGTGTATGAACATCTATGAACTCCATTGCTCCATCATGTTGGCCGAACCGCTTGTCAGTACTGAAGCAGGAAGGGTACTGGACTTGTACAAGTGTAAATCCAAACATATCTAAATACAGCAGTGTAGCAAGTTGGTATCAGGAACAACTATAGGTACCAAGTTGGAGAGTGAAGATTGTTGCATATTTGCATTGTTTGATTGAATTCTTCCCACATCCCGGGACAAATGTCATTGCCGTGAGTTCTTCCTCCCAATAGATCCCAAAACTCCTTGAATGAACAACACATCAGGCCCGAGGCCCGCATATTGGGTGCATGCCCTTCACATCTTTCAACATTCTTTCTGGACGAGTGCATCGGTGTACACAAGCAACTGATGCTACAGAGTCTCCCCATCCTTTCTGCAGCGAAGCTGCCATCATCGGATCCCAGTCATCTGCTCTTAGACTGCGCCATTTTTTCCGCGGTCTCAGCAGCCTATGGCTGCAGTGCACGGCCACCAAATCTGCAAATGTTTGTGAACGTGAATGGGGTGACGCTGGGAGCTCTGGAGCTCTGAACTGAAAGCCGAACACCCTATCGCCCATCAACTATGAATGAACATATGCTGTTTTGGTTGGGGGGGGCGGGGGGTAGGCCGCTAAGGTAGCTAGGTAGGTAGTAGCTAGAGGTAGATAGCTACCGACAGGACGCAGGATAGCTCGTGCACAATGATTTTCAGGGACACTTAACTTGTGATTTAAACTTGTACACACAACGCCGAAAATCAGCAAGCATGTTCTGCAAGCGTCATGGTCCATGGTTGTGCGCAAAGCCCTCCAAAACAAATGTATCCTACCTTCTGGTAGTTCGCTTTGAAACCTGGGCAGCAACGCATTGAAACTTGACAGGTGCTTTAATGCAGCTCCATGGCTTGGCTATTGATTTGAGGGCACTCTTTATCATTCAATCGAAAAGCCAACATTGCCGGCACAAAAGCCGACAGCAAAGCTTGTATGCGATTCCATGCATCCACAAACATGCATCCCAAATCATGCCGGAGTGCTTGAAACGCGTCGTGTTCTTGCCAAAGCTGAGCCTTCAGCGGGCAACAAAAAGAATATATGATATTGGCATGGACCTAGTTCATGCGTTGGATTTCCCAGAATTCTGGACCCCACCAACATCATCCAACGCCATCAATTTGTCGTGACCTTCAAATGGCCAACCAGCGCTGTGGTCATTCGCGATGCCCTTGCAGCTCTCGGTGTCCTGAGAGGAACACTCAGAAGGGCAAATCCCCGCAGCCGAATCTCAAGAGATATTCATCTTCCAAGCAAGGACGGCCTATATTGCTGGACAATTGGCAAGGCAGACTAGCCTGTGACCCTGACTGGCTTTCAAACAGCTTTCTCAAGACTAAGCCCGGCATGCTAAACAGTGGGGCGATGAACATGTCGCATGAGCCTGGGGACAAGTCATTATCCAAGGAGATCCTTTAGCTATAAGGGTATGAGACTTTCAGCGGCATCGGCTTCAGCTTGGGATAGCTACTTAGAAAAAACACGCACTAGGAACAAAGGGCATCGCTACTAGGAGCAAGGACGCTACTAGGGGCTCCTGGCCTTACTATATAGGGAACCAGAAGCTAATAGAAACAAAAAATAAATAAATATAACAAAACGTAATTTGAATTGAAGTAGAATCACCGCAGTCTCTGGATTCCCATCATCAGCCTTGATCCCATTCTCTTGAGACTCGCCAAGCTCCATCGAGGAAACGGCTGTGACGGTGGTGCTTAGGCAGCGCTGAGCGATTTGAGATTGTCAACCTCTTCGCCAAACGGCATATGGATATGTTCTTGAGTATGATGGGTACATCATGTGTGCACCTGTATGTGTACATATGCATAATATACAAGTAACAAGCACACATTGGTTATATAGTATACAATATACGTTCATTTCCCATATACTGCTATGCCTGTCGCCTGTCCAGGCATCTTGCTTGTATTAGTAGTGTGAGGCAAGAGGACCGTGCGAGGAACGAAGCAAGATTGGTGGGCACGAAAAGCTGAGGCGATAATGATCCAGTTTGCGTAGCCACAGTGAGGAAATCGTTGGGACACAAAAACGTGACAGGATCTACTGTGAGCAATTGGGCAACGAAAACCGCAAAGGTTGGCCTTTGCACATGGCCGTGGGCCGTCTCAATCAATGATGTGATCTTGACACACTTCCCAAGTCCCAAAATATTTACTCTCGGCCCCACCTGTGCTGCAACCAGGACAAGCCTGCAATTGATTTCTAGCTATGACACTGAAAAGTTCATCAATTGCATTCTGAGTCAAAATCACCTCACTTGTATGATGCAAAGGTCTCTGAAAGTTCCCGTTCCCGCCTCTCAGGAAGTCCATCATGCAGTTGTTCGTTTGCGCGCGTTGCTTCCCACAATTCGGCAATACAATGCCACACAATGCAAACAAATACAAGCAACAAAGCAATGCTCTGGCTCTAGTTTTGTCTCAGCCTTGTTGCATCCGATTGATATGTGTGTCCAGGATTGATGCCATCAGCATGAGTGTAATCAGTGTAACCACCAAATGCTTCTAGGTTCAAGCATTTAGCGATCTGTAAACTCTCGTGCGGGCCTGTTGGCTCAGCTTTTTCCTACTCAACGCATTGCTAAAGTCGACTAGTGGCTATGCATTTTCCTCTACCGCCAGGTGGTTTTCCAACTCCATGTCGGGTATCATTGTTATTTGTTTTTCTCGGTTGGAGGCCAAATTAGGTCAAGAAGCTAGCTAGTTTCGCTAGTTTTTGCATATCATCTCAGGCCAGGCCAAATTAGGTCAAGAAGCTAGCTAGTTTCGGTAGCTTTTACATATCATCTCAGGCCAGGCGCTGCATTTTGAACTGGACATGATCGACACCTATTGTTCTTTGTCCGAACAAGTCCACTGGCCGTTTTTATGTCTCCTCTGCACCAAGGTGGCTGCTAGCTGCTAGCTGCAACTGGGATGCCAGTGGCATTTGTTGCCCCTGGTTCGTCTCACTGGCACTCTACCGGTGCCAAAAGAAAGGCACAAAGTGCCCTGCTAAAGTCAGCATCAACAAGGAAACCCAATGCCTACACATGCGTGCACTACAGTAACTAATTACTCTAAATCCACTGGCACTGGCAGAGGGCAGGAAGCATAGCTTTGGCTTCTGCCAAGTAAGACATTTGGCCTATTCGACATTCCAAAACACCTATCAGTAGATGCCCGCAGGAGTTTGCATCAAATCGGTGCAAACCATACCATACATGTAGTGACAGGACTGAGTCCTATGAACAGCACAAAGGACATCTCAGCCAGCTTTGTGGCCAGCGTTGGCAGCTTTCGAGATGGTCCGAGCCCTGGTTTCTGGATCAATTTTTGGCCAACGAGGGCTTGGGGCTTGGGGTAATAATCACCTTAACCTTAAGATCTTCACTTGTGGGAGCTAGGGCATCCAATCGTTTTTGCCCGTGGTTCTTCTTCAGAAACATATTAAACTCCCGAGATGGATGATCACTATCTGATACTATCTTAGGACAAACATATGACGGAATATGTGGCGGCTTGAGAGCTCTACCCACTGGAAGCCAATCAATCACCTTGCAAAGAAGTCTGCCCAGCCTCCCTGAGTCACGGGATTTGAACAAGTGCACACGAAGCGTTTTCGCCTTCCCCGTGGTGGACTCCTGCAACTATAAACACTAATGTAGTCCCTTGATTTATAAACCCCCCCCCCTCAACAGCCAAGGCCTCCAAAATAATGTATAAGAAAATCAATCAGTTGATAATTAAATAAGGAATCCTTAGCTAGCTACCTCTGGAGCTACTCTGGCAATATTAAATTAAAAGGAAATAAGAATTCCTAACTTTGAAGACATCTGGAATATTAATTACAATAAAAGGGAATGAATCAAATGGAATAGAACTAACTTTTTAAATTTCAATGGAAATCTGAATCCAAAGACCTGCAATTTCAATGGTAAGTAAAGCAAATCAAAAGGCAAAGAACAGGAATAAAGATTTAAAGCCTCAAATCTCTAGACATTATTCTAGGGGCCCCCCCTAAATAATGTCAGAAAGCTGCTTGCTGGACTACCCCCTTTGCTTGAATGATTTTTTTTGTTTTTCAATACTT